AACAACCTTGATTGTAAGATGGAAAAGCATCATCGATAAGAATGGAGACTATTTCATGTAATGAATGTTTTGTTTTGATATATATAAGTTGTTTGGGTTTTTTCATCCAAAGAAAAAGCGACATTAATTGCTGGACGACCTAATATTACCGGTTCACACATATATAAACTTCAATGAAGATTGAAGCACACAAAAACCTGCTTACGTTATTTATACTGGTATAATAGCTAAGTGGAGTACATTTTGTTAGTTGTTTTCTCTTGAGATAGTGGGAGAATTCAAAAACTAAATAAATAATTGAGTTTCTAGTTTATTTTGGAAGGCATTGTGTGCATGTGTGTATGTGTACACATTCATCCATATATTCACTATAAATACACACACATAACATGTAGAATATCCATTTAAGATAAAATGGAATAAGACGAAGTATTTCACAAGTGATATAATAAATATTTGAGGCACATTTTTCATTTAGTTCTGTTTTTAATAATTAGCAAGCATTGCGCAAGGGAACAACGAGTTTTTAATGCATGATTCAAGGCATTTAACAATTTTTTTTAGACCAAACAGTTTCTAAGGAAAAATGCTGAATGCAAAGCAGAATCCCAGTCAAGAAGAGATGCATTAGCAGGTCATTTTGAAACCTCTGATGTTAGTCTGACCAAAGAAGAACTTATAGAGGTATATACACTGTTTTTGCATCCAAAGTTTGTCCATACAGACCTCAGTAGGTCATTATTTTTAATTCATAGATCTATAAATAGATGATGAAATGTTTAGTATAGAAGCTGCTAGGCCTAACTTATTCAAAGTATTCTCTTGAAATCTTTTTTTTTATTTGAGTATAGATACTCATATGTTTGATATTTCTAGTTAGTTGTTATAACAATTAAAAATAAAGATGTCGTGTCTAGAAACTTTGATTCAAATATTTGTTTAGTTCACAATTTTCGAGATGTTGGTTTATGTTTTACTAAGATATAACTTTATAAACTATGTTTACAATAATTTGCAAAGAGAAAAAAATATTTTATTCTGTCGGTCAGTCAGTCAATTTAGTATTCATTTGATACCCATGTAATAATAAGTGTCAAAAGTTTACAAAATGTTTGTTTTATCAAATAATCCAACCATTTCTATATAGCATGGAAAGGATTTTACTTGAATAACTTATTCTGGCATCCCCTACTTTTGTATGCCTCCCACAAACACTGAAAGTATAGAAATCTAAAGAATTCTTTTATTCTTTGCAAAGCCTTTAGGTCATTATTTTTTTTTTTAAGTTCTTACACTATTTTTGCTTACCTATAAAAAAATAAATAATTTTTGAAATTGTTTTTATAAACAGTTAAAAAACAGGTTGCAACGTGAAGCTTCTGGTGGCTATGGGTCAGCCATGAAATCTACAAAAGATTCAACTTCACGCAAAAATAGTAAGCTAAGCTCTTTATTATTATTTGTTTAGTGTTTTTTATGCCCTTTTACTAATTTTTGGACTTAATGTAAGGTTTTTATTCTCTTTGATATTGATTTTATTTTGTGTTTCAGTTCTAAGAAGCATAACATCAAATCTCTGAAATTATATATTTCATGACAACAGTTCCCAAAAATTAGGGCATTTCTAATACATTTCATCCTAATCAGCTGGATTTCCTGTGCTGCCAAGCTGGGTAAAAGAAAGACCCTTCATGACCTGGGATTTTGTGATGGATTCTGACATAGAAGAAAACAAGGTAAAAATTATTTTTATACATACCATAAGTAGTGCCAACTGTGTCATGATTTCAAACAGATATCAATAACTAGTTGTGAGTTAATTTATTTATTAGATCAATATCTTTTTTTTGCTTTTTCATGGTAAACTTAATGTAGTATTTTTCATTGTTTATTCTGTTGTATGTGTCAGATCTATGGTTGATTTTTCAAGATTAAGTTTTACTATGTGAAAATTTTTAGGTCAGTGATTCTGGAAACAGTAATTAAGTCGTAGAGCATTTTTATGGTATTATTCTTATATAAATTTACAACATAGTTTGCCTGAGGGCTTAACCATTATATATTTTGATTTTTTTTAAGTTTGCCCTTGGTCAAAATTAAATGTTTGAGAAAAAAATTACCTTCATTGAAATCTATTAGATTTTTTCTAATTTTTAATATGTACTTAAATCATTTGTAGGTCAGTCCTATTGGTTCTTTACCTGTTCCATCCCAAGAAGAACAGCTAATTGAAGACCTTCTTTTCTGCCTTGGGGTGAAGTTGCTTATGTATTAACCATGCTGATCTATTTCTGTTTGTAATTAAGTGTATTGTTTTCACATTTTTACATCTGATTTTGTAATTATTATTTAAGTTTTCAGGATAATTAAGGTACTGCTATGTGTTATGCAATAGTGTTTGAAGTTTACTTAATTATAACACTAAAATGCTGCTCACTTCTGTGTGTAAGCTGTATTTACAGAATGAACTTAGAATTTTTTTATTCTAATATTTATACTGTACCTAACCTTAAGCAAGCAGACTTCAACTACATATTAGTATATGTAAATGCCATGATTTTTAGAGCTAATTAACCCTATTGCAATGAGTTTGGGTGTTTTACACTTCCTTGTAATCACCATATAACCATGATACTATACATACTATAAGTTTGAAAGTACATAATTTACCTTCATGAAATTTGGCAAGCTTTCAGTAGACATTAAATATCTTTTGTATACAAAAGATCAGAATTTTTAATTAAGTATTTCTACTAAACCTTTGTCTATAATTATATGGAGTCAGAATGTTGGCTGCTCCAAGTGCAAAGTGATTTTAATTTTCAGATTAAAAGTACTTTTCTTCATCTGAAAAAGTTTATATTTAATCTTATATTTTCTATATCATAACTCTACACAGGTTAGGTCAATTTGACCAACCTCGTAACCACCACAAAGAAGTAGGAAATAATTCTAAATTACCCATTTTTCTTTCAAGGACGAATGTAAATTGTAACAGGAAGCTACATTTCTTTATCCTAAATGTGCCCGGCATGGCCAGGTGGATAAGGCGCTCGACTCACAATCTGAGGGTCGCGGGTTTGAATCCGCATCCCACCAAACATGCTCCACTAGTATATATACAATAGGGATGTCTGGACATGCAGATTATCAAAATCTGATCCCGATATTGGCCGATCATGGGCACATCAACACTGATCTGATATTTCACTCAGGTCACAGGCTTATTGAATAGCTACTAAAGTGTTTGCAATTACTTGCATGAAATGGCAAATGCCTTTTTTTTAGCTCATTTTCCTCTTCCCCTAATTCATATACCATCTGGCCAGGTGGTTAGGGCGCTCAACTCGCAATCTGAGGGTCGCGGGTTCGAATCCCCGCCCCGCCAAACATACTCGCCCTTTCAGCCGTGGGGGCGTTATAATGTGACGGTCAATCCCACTATTCAT